AGCCCTGCTTGCTGCAGAAAATACTGGAATTGTGTAAGCCCCCCTCAAATACTTTGTCCACATACTCTTAGCCATTAATGCTGTGTGTTGGCGCCTGGCTTCTCTATCTACAGCTTCCAAAAGAAATGCTGGGACTGGTATCCCCTGTGGAGCTGCTGACGGAGCGAGCCTGTGAACAGGAAAGAGCATCTGCAATCTCATTATGTACACCTGGAATATGCTGGGCTTTGAATGCCACATTATCGCCGAGGTAGCACAGCACAAAGTAACGGACTAAACGCATGATAGAGCTACATGTACATCGCGAAGTCTGCTTACAGATAATGGCAATGATTACTGCCCATGACCGAGTTGGGTGCAAGTGCTGGCACGTTGAACTGTCTATCATATTCGATCCAACCCCGGCCGGGAAAGCGCACCGCTGCTGTTCTGATGACATGCATGTCCATGTACTTCAAAAGCTCCCGACTCCTGCTCTGGTGTACGCTTAAGAATACCAATGCGTAAACGAGAAGGGTGTCAGTCCACGCAAGAATTGAGGCAATCTGAGCCTTTTTCTTTGTGTCAATGACTTGGAGCTGCCCATTGTTATCTCTAGTAAATGTTAAATTAGGAGTGGAACTGGTTGGGGATTTGCGATCAAGCAGAGTTTCAAGCTCCAAGAACTTGCTTCTAATCATCTTTTCTTTCGTGCCAGTTGGCAGGCCACTGCCCAAGGGATCACATACAGATATGAGGGGGGCCCCACCACCTGACATACATGTATATTAGGTTGAAACTGAAACCCCCCTAGATTCTTTGGTGCCGGCCTGGTTGGGCTGAACGGTATTATTATGAAAAACTACTGGGTTTCTGGTGCCACCAAAGTAAGCACTGACAGTCCTATACCCACCCGGGAGAGACATCAGCGGTTGGCTGGCCTGTATTGGCATGACTGGGAGACTAGCAACTGTGGCGCTGACAATAGGAGGACTGGCTTTGGGAATGGTGTAGACTTTTGCAGGAGGACCGATGACAGCTCCTAATGAAGCTGGATGTTTTCTCATGCTCTCAATTCTACCAACGTGCTGAGCAATAGACTGAAGTCCCCCACCAGGTCGGGCTACCAAGCTGGTAACTGCACTGACTGTAGCATGTGTAAGTTCCATCAGAGCCGCCTGGCTTGCCTGGAGTGAGACTGATAGTGGTACCGATGTACTTGTGTTGCCGACATGTGTGCATGTTACTGCTGTGTTGCTGGTCCCCAAATGGTTGCTAGTGTGAACCGGGTGCCCAGCGAGTAGTTCTCTATGCACAGTGCCAATGATGACACCATGGTGTTGGCAATTGGCAGGGCCTGTTGACGCAAACTACAGAGCTCCGCTGAAGATGAAGTCAACACACTGCTGCTGGTTATGCCAGAGTCAACAAAGTTGGCCAAATGAGGGTGCTCTCCAACTTGACCAAAGATCGTATAGCATCGAAGGCACAAGATGGATAATTTGCCCAAAAAATGTAATTACCATGGGACCATTTGAGCAGGTGATACGCCTGCGCGGTTTACGGTAATGCCTAGGTGTAGGCTCACCAGGTGCACGTGGCTGCCGCGGCACCTGTGCATTAATGTGCATTGTGCAGGCGTATCGCTTGCTCAAATGGCGCCCATGCGATTACAACATTTTACGTGTATTCACAGTGAAGTTCGCCATCTTGCGCCGCTTGGCGGTGCTATACGATCTGTGAACTTGACCATGGTTGAGCGGCAACAGCGCGGCAAGAAGGTTCTGGATGGCTCAAGACTCGGGTTGTGTTTGGCCACGTACCAACCGATTTTTCCACTTAGCAGGGGCCTCCTGTGCCGTCTGCTTCCTTTCTGTGTTTCCCATGACCAGGGAGTTATGTCTGCCTCTCAAAATGGGCTGCGCGGGTGTCTATTCCGGCTAAATCTTGAGAGAGTATTTTAGCATGATGCAACCCCAGCGGAGGCATGTAACCAATAGAAGATGAGCCAAAGGTCCGATTGTACGCTTGACCTAATTGGTTGTTAGTCAGCCTTCCGGCCAATCAGCGACATGATTAGTCAATCTTGCGATGTTAGATTAAGCACCTCCCTCACCGGACCCCAAAGGGGGTTCCGCCCGACCAGCATCCAAAAACCGTATTGTTAAATTCAATTTTATCTGTATATTATCTTTATAAATAGCATTTGTGTGCTCTTATGTATAATTTTGAAAAAACTGTCTGCCTCAAAATGTAAAAGTTCCTTTTGTAAGGAATAATGATACCCATAGTTATGACTCTAGGTCATCAAACAAGCTTCATCTCAACAAAGTTTCAAGTTTGCCACATCTTCAACTGCTACAATCCTGGACAAATCTCGGTTGGCTTCCAGACCCCCTTTTCAGTGTTGGGTCTGTGCGCACGGTCTGTGTTCCAGCTGGACAACATTGACCGGGGGAGTGGGAGAGGGGGCTGGAGATTGTATAGCTATTTCCAAGTGTTCCAACAAGTCTGTCCAGAATTGTAGATACCAGGGACCCCTATCATACTATAGAACTGAAGTTGATCATTCTGTCCATTGGCGTCAAGTGTAACTTGCAAAAGGAATAATAAAACCTGTGCAGTTGAGGTAATTAGGAGGATGTACATGTAATTGTCAAGCTAAGTTGTCAATAACACTTTTAAAACTCATTGTAATTTATTGATTTAGTCAGATGACAAATTCATTAATTTTGTATTTTAACATCCAATCCTTTGGTCTAAGTATTCCTATTCATCATGATTTGTATGAAATAAAATCCTTTTTTTGCTGTAAGTAGACCCATTACAGACTTTGACTTCTTGTTTGACCTCCCTGTTACTATAACCATTACAGATACTACCATTACAGTTTTCTCTCCCTATGTGCATGTATGTAACTACATGTACATGTACATGTACTTATAGTATGGTAATACGTGAACCTACATGTAAAACCAGAGCCCAGTTTTTTCTCGCTGTGTGCATGTATGTAACTACATGTACTTATGGTTTGGTAATACATGAACCTAAAACCTTAGCCTAGTCGAGGGTGGTTGGGCTTGGTTGGTGACAGTTGGTTGTGGGGGGTTTGGTAGGGATGGGTTGATGAGGGTAGGGATTTATTAGGTTGACTCACGGACCGTTTACCCAGGAATGTGCAACTTAAGCTCAGAGCTGGTTCAGTGCTTGTTACGGCCGGCACAATATCAAAGCAGAAATTAAATTGGATTATGTAGCACTTTCTCTAATAATAAAACATATATTCCTGTCCACCACTTTGTTTTCTTGTAATATTTTAAGTCAGGGTACACCCTTTCTAAAAATATGCTGCTCAAGATATTTCATCCTATACATTCTGAGAAAAGTGTACCACAAAACAGGGGAATTTCAGTTTGCCTCATTAAAACTTCGTTTCTCCTGGAAATCGATAAATGAAGAAGATTTATTCGTCAAAACAAATAGATTTAAGCACCATGTCAGCCCGTCGTCCAGCATAACCACGGCTGCACTGTACATGCTGCATGCTGCAACGCGTGTCATGTAGTCGCGAGGTTTTTCGAAAAATTCGAGAGCGCCTGCGGGGGTTATAACAATCCGTAACACGCATGGAACCAAGGTTGCACATATTTTTGTGCTGGGGCGCTCGCGGTTGCGCATCCCTTGGTAAATGGTCCGTGGTTGAATTTACATGTATTTTGAAAATACACGTACTAACACTTTCAGCATCTTGAAAGATCTGAGACCAAATGAATATTCATTGGAGGTTTACAACAGAAATATGAGGGATTATATGTGTATACATACATGTACATGTATAGTCTAAGCCAGTTGCACACTCCCGTCACTTCAGGCATGAACTAAATTTTTTTTTCATACTGATTCTACATACAGTTTATTTCAATGTGTGCTTGAGTCTATGAGTCTATTAAAACACACATTGTCTTGTGTTCCTTCACCACTTTAATATGTGCTTACAAGTAAGTCTACATGTATGAGT